GCAACCCTTGGCTTGGTGTCGCCCGCACCGCGCTCAGCCAGTGAGCACACTGGCCATCCCTGTATAAGATCCAAACCCGCGGCGGGAGCGCCGCTGCGCTCTCAAGCGCCGCACACTCCCGAGTGCGCCACGGGGCTGGCCCCAGATGGTTCTTTTTGATGGGGGATAAGGACATGGTGGATAGCTAACCAGGGACGCTGACGATTCCTGGAGATGATGTCACACCTCAGCCTTTAGGGGGTTGTGCTCACTTTTTTTCCCCCTCCAGGACAGTGTCTCCCTCTTTTGACAGCACTCACTTAGGCGGAGTGAGAACACCTACGTTACTCTTTTCTACCTCCAGCATGAAAAAGAACTCATGAAAATAAACAAGTAGGATCTGTATGAGCAAATTTTGGGGGTTTGGTAGCTCATAGGAGAACCACAAAGTATACAACCTTAGAGCCTAATTATTGCAAAATTAGAGGCCCCAAAGTATTTTGATGCATTATAATACTTTATAGCAGTGGTTCTGTAAATCTTAGCATGCACGAAAACCACCTGAAAGACTTTTAAAAGCACAGATTGCTGGGACCTTCCTAAAGTTTCTGGCTCAGTAGGTCTTGATGGGACTTGAGAATGTGTATTTCTGATCAGTTCTCAGATGACGCTGAGGCAATTGGTCCAGGGACCACATTTAGAGAACCGTCGCCCTTTAGGATTAACCAAAAACCCACAATAAAATTAACTGGTCAAGGAGCAGCCAAACCAACAATGGTGGCTTCCAAACTTGGGGAACCCCAGCTCCGAGGGCTCACGTGTGCAGCAGCAAGACACGTGACATTGCCTGGCACGTTGCAACCAGCCAGAATTCATAATACTGACGAGAGTTCTCAGTAACTTCCAATGACATGCTAATTTTAATTTACGAATACCACATTTTAGTAACCCTTAATAACTCTCTTTGAGGTTACTAGGAAAGTAGTCCGCAGTTGAATATAAAAATGAAAGTCTATATAACTGGGCTTCACTTTCGAGTAAGGACTAAAGAAAGGACTTTGACTTTTCAACCAATTCTAGGCCTGTTAGTTTCTCCACTCATGGCCCATCTTGAGAGAAATCTGGCCTGTGATGGACTAGTCTCAGTTTCCCAGGTGGCTGAACCCTCCAGGAGCCTTTGTTCCTGTCTCCCTGTGGGTCTATTCCAATGCCAGCCCTGACATACACAGGTGTGGCCTCCCATACAACCCTCAGGAGAAGTTATGCGTCTCCTCTCTCAATCATTCTCCCTGGCTACCAAGGCTCTCGCTGCCAGAAGCTCTTCTAGATGTTTAACTCAGACCCTTCCTACCCCAGGGCAGGCATTTCCTGTCGCCTGGTTCTTCCCAGTGGAGAAGAGCCTGTCATTTGCACTGCTGTCCAACCCACTCCCGGTCTTCCCCCATCCCTTTCCCCTGCTGTTTGGGCTGCCCCTCCAGTCCCCAGGTTGGACACCTACCTGATGATGTAGCCCTTGAGGAGGCCATTCTGGTGGCTCTCGGGTGGCGGCTGCCACTGGATCATGATGGACTGGTTGGTCCGGCCACTGGCAATGACATTCTGTGGAGGGGCTGTGGGGGGCTCCTCAGGGAGAGAGACCCTGGACCGGAAAACACCAAGAGAGGGTAAGCCTTCCCACTCAGTCCCAGGGGTTTAACGGGATAGAAGGAGGCCAAAGCCTGCTCTGCTCTATCCCTGGATGATCTGCATAATTGCTGTGTGCTTTTGGCCAGATCACTTAACCTCTCTGTAAAAGAACTCTAATGAAGCACCACTGGCCTGCCTTACAGGACTGGTTGAGGCTTAAGTGACACAAGAAACATACGAGTATTTTTATCAGCACCACGCTCTCCCAGCTGAGCTAACCAGCCAGCTCATATGAGTCTTTTAAAGACACTATGAAACACTAAACATGTATATTTTTGGTGCAGTTGAGGGACATGGGCCTCAGTTTCCCATTTGTCTGAGAGGCTGCTGATGAAGTCAGGAGTGTTCAAGTATTTTAGAAGGGGGAGTGTTAAATAGGCATTCCCCAGTTGCCAGAGGCTGGTGCACCTTAACTGGGCCTCCTTTACTGACCAGCTGAGCCCCACGCTGGGGTGGGGTGGGCATGACGTGTGGGTGAGAGCCCAGGGCACCCGTGCCACCTCCCGAAGCCAAGTGCTACCACATTTCTTTCTCTGGCATTGCTAGGGAACACAGTGTTCCACTAAGTGGATTTTTCAACCTGAGTGTATTTTTCACATCTCTGACACATATCCATTAAAAACAAAAGTTAATTATTTTTGATGGATATCTTTCCCTTTTGTTTATTTTTATGTTTTTGCTTTCTGATGGATAGCTTTCCAAAGCATACTGTGCACCCCCGTGTTTTTGTAAAGGCTGAAGTAAGGATGATTTAACCTTCTTCTTGGCGACTCAGGGCCATTAGTATGAAGATTCATCAGGAAGATGAATCAGTGTTAAACAGTGGAGCTGCGGGGCAGGAGTGGTGTACGGTGGGTTCCCCTACACATTGAAGCCTCTCTGTTGGAATTTTGCAGCTCCAGAAGGGCTGGGGCTGAGTCTCTTTGTTCCCTGTACCACCCCCAGTGGTCCAAACATGGCTGGCACATAGTAGGTACTCAATAAACAGTGAGTAAAGAAATTCTCCTGTAGCTGCTCTCCATGCTGGCTGTCACCTGTCACTACTCCCTTCTGTTAGGGTATCTTGACCCCAGGAGTGTCACCCTGGTGAAAGCCAGACACTGAAGCCTACTGGAACGGTGGCAAAACCACAACGATCGATTTAGTGGTCTCTCTGTATGCACCTAAGGGCGTGTTTTAAAGAGCCAAGCACTCAGCTTAGTTGCATAAGATTCGTATCATGGTCTTTCTGACCTCTCGCATGATGTCACCTTTCCTAGAAGTGGCTGCTTGTTCGACGGGGTTGTAGAATTTGCCTTCTATGTACATGGGTTTTACTGCGTGATGCTTTGATATGGACTACCTGCTGTTTTATTCCATTTCCATCATTTTAGAAAAGCGTTGCTGGACCCCTATCAGGGCCTGGCATCACACAAGGCATTGGACATGGAGGTCTGCAAAGGTCCCATCTCCCTTGGGAACTTTGTGTCTGCTGAATGACCATCGCAGCCCGTGGGGACGTGGAGCAGAAGGAGGGAGGTCTTTGATCTCAGCTCACAGTTATAGGACGACTGCCTTGGGTTAGTGCTTACCATGGGCCCTGCCCCGCGCACAGCGCTCTGCTCACATGGTCTCATTCAATCCTTACCATATCCCTGAGATACTTTTGCCCCATTCCCCAGAGGCAGAGACTGGAGCCTGCAGGGCAGGGGGAAGCCGAGCCAGGACTCNTCACAGTTATAGGACGACTGCCTTGGGTTAGTGCTTACCATGGGCCCTGCCCCGCGCACAGTGCTCTGCTCACATGGTCTCATTCAATCCTTACCATATCCCTGAGATACTTTTGCCCCCATTCCCCAGAGGCAGAGACTGGAGCCTGCAGGGCAGGGGGAAGCCGAGCCAGGACTCGCCGTGTTGGCTTGGCTGTGGGCAGCCCCCCATAGCGCCCCCACCCCTGCCCCTCTTTGGAGTCACGGAGATGCACCCTGGACACCGCCTGCTTCTCTCACCTCTCCGTGTCCTTGCTGAACTGTCCTTTCCCCACGTCGTTGACAGCACAGAGACGGAACTGGTAGGAGCGTGCGGGGACCAACCCCTTGACCATCACCGAGGTAGATTCAGGGTCCACACTGGCCAGGAGTATGGTCCAGGGGGCATCTGCAGGGACAGAAGATAGGGGCAGAAGTGGGCATTTGGGGGGGGATGGGACTTGCTTCTTACCCCTATTCCCAGAAGGGACTGGCAGAAGAGAGCCTCCCTACTTGGTCCAGTAGAGGACTGCTATGTCATTTTTCTAGGTCCCATTAGCCTGCGTGACCCCAGGGAGCTGGAGNGGGGGGAAGCCGAGCCAGGACTCGCCATGTTGGCTTGGCCGTGGGCAGTCCCCCATAGCGCCCCCACCCCTGCCCCTCTTTGGAGTCACGGAGATGCACCCTGGACACCGCCTGCTTCCCTCACCTCTCCGTGTCCTTGCTGAACTGTCCTTTCCCCACGTCGTTGACAGCACAGAGACGGAACTGGTAGGAACGTGAGGGGACCAACCCCTTGACCGTCACCGAGGTAGCTTCAGGGTCCACACTGGCCAGGAGTATGGTCCAGGGGGCATCTGCAGGGACAGAAGATAGGGGCAGAAGTGGGCATTTGGGGGGGATGGGACTTGCTTCTTACCCCTATTCCCAGAAGGGACTGGCAGAAGAGAGCCTCCCTACTTGGTCCAGCAGAGGACTGCTATGTCATTTTTCTAGGTCCCATTAGCCTGCGTGACCCCAGGGAGCTGGAGGGTGCAGGAGACAGAGAGGGCTCATGGAACTGAGATGACTTCGTCTTTCTTCCTTCTCAAATTGATGAGCTCTAGGCAAACCGTACTGAAAACACCATTCAGGTGACACCTGCTCATTCTGGAGTTCACAGCTTGGGAACTTGGAGAAAAATAAAAATAAAAATGACAGCCACCACCTTTGAACCTTCCCTATGCCAGGCCGCATTAAGCACCTCTCTGCATTACGGTCACACTCAGTCATCACAATGGCCTGACGGGGAGATGCCAGTGCTCCTTTTTCAGATGAGGAAGCTGCGCCAGCCAGAGGGAAGGATTTGCTCAAAGGCCCAGAGCTCGGAAGTGGGGATGCTGGGACTCCAGCCCAGGGCTGACACCCCCCCAGTCTGAGCTTCCAGCCCATGCCCCTTGCCCAGGCCACACCAGGGGGTGCAGGAGGGGGATGGTGGGAACCTTACTGTTCTCCGACATCTCCAGGACGTAGCGGATGAGGGGGCTGTTGCCGTCAAAGGGCTTGGCCCACGTCAGGTTGATGGCTCGCCTCTCCACGGAGCTCAGAGTTGCCACCGGGTGCTCGGGGGCATGGGGCAGTTGCCTGGAGGAGAGAGATGTGTGCTGGAGCCACCCTGCATGGTCTGCAGTCAGGTGACAGGGACACCAATGACTCAGGTTGGGGGGCCTGCCTTTCTATGATACCTTGTGCTTTGACATACAACTTGGCCTTCGGGCCATCTACCTGGAGATCCTTCTCTCTGAAATTGGAGCTCATCTGTCTAAAGCCATCCTCAGAACCCCATACCCCTCCCCTGCTCTTGACAAGGGGCCTGAGCTGAGGGAAAGGCCGGGAAGGATGCTTAGGATGTGTCCTGAGAGAAGGCAGGTGGGCCCAGGTCACACGTGGCCTGGTGACCTGGCAAAAGGGAATTGGGTGCTCTGAGCCTTTCCTTTGCTGTTGGTACCTGCACCTCCTTTGTCCTGGGCCTGGGAGGGCTACCCTTACCTGACTCGCAGGTGGGCACTGCGAGAGTCATTGCCTCCAGCTGAGAGTACCCGGCAGGTGTATGTGCCAATGTCCCCTGACCACGTCTGCGAGATGTGCAGGGAGCCGTTTTTGTCCAGGCGGGTACGGGGATTGCTCTCCATGCCCAGGGTAGCCCCATCCTTCTCCCAGACATACCTGAGAGTAAGAAGCAGCACTAAGTGAGGAGAGATAGGAAAGGTTCCTGGAGGTGGGCTCACCCAAACCTTGTCCTAGGAAGAGAGCTCCAAAGGCGGGCAGAGGGTAGTTCCTCTGGGGCTAGTCCTGGTCGGGCAGGGAACTGGGATTGGGGATGAGGATTGTGGAAGCCCATCATTCCTGTGGGTAGGGTACCACCTCCAGGAGGGTTAACACATCAAGTCATGATAGGTCATTTGCATCTTTGTTTCAGGTTGGGTCACAGCATTGCTGCTTTTGGCCAGAAGCCACTGCAAAACAGCCAACACATAAGAGCTCCAGCAAAGGTATTCTTCCAAAGATACTGAAAGATTACAGCTGGAAAAAGAATTAAAGTTTCTGCACAGACTACATTTTGGAATTAGTTTTATGAAGGGAATCTTTAGATCAATGCATCACTGTGACAAATTGACTTTAGTGTCCAAAAAATTCACTTCCGCTCTGGTCAGTCAGTACAAAGGGGGACTTGAGAAATTACATGCATATTGGTGTCTGACAATAAGAAATCTCTTCTCTGGAATTGTTCTGAGGAGATACAACCATTATCACTGTCACCAACACTTGGAGTGCCAGCTCCGGGTGGGACATGCCATGCTATCCCCCCAGAGAAGGCTGGCCTTGGTTCTCAGCATGAGGGCCAGGTGGCACCTGAGATGCATTGCAAATGTCCCCAGTCAACCAGTGGACAGGGTGGTGAGTCTGCGCCATGGGCTCCTAGAACTATCTGGGTTTAGAGAATGTAAGATTGTTGGGAGAGTGGGTCTGTAACATTTTTTTTTTTTTTACCTAAATTTAAAAAGTAGAAGAAACAGAAAAGTAGGAAATATAGATAAGGAAAAAGAAAGTAAATAAAGGAAAAAGGAAGAGAAAACTCAAAAGTTTTCCAATAACAGGGAACCCCGATTAATACTTGAGTGTATATTTTCCAGACTCTTCTACCACAGTGCTATTTTCTCCTGTGGTCAAACTCCCAGCTCAGATTCTACCACTGTCAATTAGCTTGATTTTGGGTAAGTTTATTTAAACTTGCCATGTCTTAGTTTCCTCACCTGCAACACAAGGAAACTAATACCACCCACCTCACAGGGTTGCTGTAAGGAGTATG